AACATCATCGAGAATACATTTCCATAGCTCTTCATCATTTCCATTCAAGTAATCCTCCATTCTATCTGCTCACTGATCATAATACTTAGGAATCAGCATCGGAATTTTCATAGATGAACCAAGGAGATGAGAGTAAGACGTCATTGTGTTCATGTTGAGGTTCACCATTGATGTACAGACAGATTTTGAGAAAAGCTTGAATTTGAATAAGATCAAACGACTAAAACACTTGTAAATCACCAATCGAACACTCGAATCAGCAATTGGAATGCAGAATCGAATCACAACAGCAGATCTAAGAAGATTTTTTGATGCAAAAGAGCGGAAAATTAAAATGTAAAACGAGAACTAGACTCAAAACTTTTGCAAAAATTCAGAAAACATATCTAATCTGTATGAATCCTGCTATAATACCAAATGTAGTTCCAATTGATTCGAGTAATCAAACAAAATCAGAGTATAAAATGATTTAGAACAAAAGATCTAAATATAATATGTTTGGCACGTTTATTGCTTGATCAGTTGAATACAAGAGGTTGAAAGAGAATATGAATACAATCAGAAAAGTCCTTAACCTGTAAAGTATTTTGATAGGAGCCCTTACGATTGGAGGCCGTGCCAACGCACAACCAAGGCTGTCACTGCCATCTATGCAAAAGATGTAAATAGGGATGTACGCTATATGATTTGGTGCGGTTTTAAGTCAAAACTACAAACCGCGCCACATGTGCGGTTTAAAACTTTCGAAAACCACGAACCACATCGCGAATGTTATAAACCACGTTACGTGGTGCAGACGGTTTTAGTGCGATTTAATGCTTTAAAAAGTGAACCGATCAAACATTAGTTGTTGTATGCACTGATAGAATCGTGGGATATAAAATTTTGATTTATCATATACATGTTAACCTAGTGTTTTACTTCAGTAAATAAGTCATTAACCCAAAATTTTACATCGGTTTTTGATTAATGATTTCAAGTTAATACACCAAAAGATGGTGTGGATACATCAAAACATATATAATTCAGAAGTTCCTATAGTTACTCGATTTAATCTAGACAAAAAAAAAACTTTGAATGACAGTTGAAATTCAAATCTTGAATAAAATATTTTATTAGTACTAAAAATATTTTTGGAAATTAGTATAGAAAATAAGAGAAACATAAAAATGCAAAAACACAAGGCATGTCAATTTTCGTAAAAATGTGATCAACTGTATGCAATCCAAAAGGTGCACCACACATAAACAAAGGACCAAGCAAAGTATAAATAAAAACTAAGAAAACATACTTCAACATTTTACAAGAATAATATATATATATATATATATATATATATATATATATATATATATATATATATATATATATATATATACTAGCCGTTTACTCGCACCAAGCGTCGGGCCAAAAAGTTTCTTTCGGAAATTAGTTTTAATGTGATGATTGTGTGATGTGTTAGACGTGAGCTGGGTGCATAGTCATACAACACAACAAAAGTTGAGTATACATTTGGAATTTCATCTAATAGTTCATACTTGATTTTACAATATATAAATTACAACAATCTGCAATCATGTAGTGTTTTACATTTATAACATGTCCAATCTGATAGCCATGCATTAAACGTCAAATGAGCATATAAGATACATATTTGAAGAAATTGTAAAATAATCCATCAGCAAAAGCTGGTGCGTTTACATACATGATGAAACTAACAAAAGGTACTTCAGTCATGGTTGTGAAATGCTACATGTCTCGCCCTGAACCAGCCCTAGGGCTATAGATGCCACCACACACGTATTATGGTATACCCTAACCATCCTAAATCACAACCACCATGGACTTTGAAATCTTGTACTAAGGAAAAGGTTAAAAGATGAACTACAATAGTGACACAAACTCATTATACAAAAAAAAAAAAAAAAAAAGTAAACTACAATAATAAATGAAATTAATTAATATACATTCTTACTTTTGCATATAGATGTAAGTATATTGCCACAAAACACATATAGAGGAACGTAAGGTGTCATAAATGAGAATGCAATTTCTGTTTTTTTTCCAATTAAAATACATTTAGTTCACAGATTTTTACAATTTCAGTGCCAAAAAAGTTTCTATTAGTCCTTGTTTTTTAGGTTGCTTTTAAAAAGTTTCTATCTAACAGTATAGCTATTAAAACTTTTAAATGAAAATTTTGCCCATGTAAAGTTGAAAGTACACCACAGGAACCATATTTGGTAATAATGTATTATCCTTTGATTTTGCTTTAAACTTTCAAAAAGGAAAACCATTTTTAACAATGGTATAAACTTTTATTCAATGATAAATGAAAATTACAAATTTAGTCCTTGTGGTATATTGTTCATTTTAAGTTTTTGTACAAGGGCAATATGGTCAATATCAAATTTGGACAGCTAAACTATTATCTACAACTATTGATATCAAACTAAGTCAGCACTTGAAATACAAAAAGATAACCATGGAAGAATATAGTCAAACGCAATAAAAACCTTGAAAGACGTACCATAGGTTTGTTTATCTAACATAAGCTTCATTGTAAGCCCTAAATCACATGATTGAACAACATAACCTTTTAACATAAGCATTGAAGATATCTTTCATCTATAGCATTATATACATTTAACAGTCAAGCTCAAAGAAAGGGCGGCAAAAAATTTGACCAAATTAAGCCTGTAACATAAGTACCAGTACCAGAACCTTATTGTAAAGTTGATGTTCACCCCCACCCAACACCTTGAGGCGACCTTGGCTTCAAATATAAAAATTTATCAAAGGTAGAATTACGTAGTACAAACAAAAAAAAAGAGAATGATTTCATATTACCTTTCAATTCTCTCAACCACTTATAAAAGATGACTGATTTCCGTGTTGCCCTTGACCCATTTCTCATTCTTTCTTGCAACTGCCATTAACTTGCCTTTATTTTTAAAGCATCAGAGATTCATGGTTATGAAGTTGAAATAAAAAGAAAACATAACTTGATTTCGCATAAACATTACCCAAACATCATACACACATACTTTTCCAAAAGTTCACACATATAGAGCATATAAATTACACAAACAACACACACATAATTTACCAAGCTAACCATTTTAGATAATCAAATGAATTCTCATAAATCTGATTACTTAAAAACTAAAAAAGGAGGTTGTGAAATAGAAGATTTAACTGAATCTTGGCTGCAAAACAAAATATCAACCATAACTGCAATTGACAAAAAAATAGCAACAAACAACAAATTAATATGCAAAAATAACAAAAAAAACATAGTTAACATACTTTAAATCAAAGGCCTTAATACACACCTCGTCCATTTTTATGTTTAAATCTGTTTATATAAACCTGGGCAAAATCAATCAGAAATTAGAAAAAGAAAAATTCCTAACTATCTGTTTTTTGTTTAGATCTAGGTGTTTGTGGATCCAATCCCTGTACACAAATCTCTTGGTTGAGTTCTTTGAACCTGTAAAGCCAACACAATAGAGAAACATGGTAAACACCTTTTTAGGACAAACCTCATATAATAAAGCATTCATCCAAGATATTTATAAGATAAAAATACAAAAAGTTAAAAACAATCAAATCAATTACAAGTAAACATTAGAATAAAAACATGTTAAGATAAGGCCTTCACCCTATTTTGTCTAAAAATCGTCTGCCTAATCCATTTTTTATGCATATTGATCTGCACATTGATAAAGCCTCTGATAAAACATGGAACTGGGGTTTCCAAACCTAAGGTGTATGTAGATCAAGATACACATGAAGTTCTAGCAACCTTACATGGTTAGAACCAACACCTTCACAAGTTCTGATATCAAATATTCGATCCATTCATCTTCAATGACCAACAATATGGTTTTTGTAGCCTTCTTTTCAAGATTTTAGACATCGTAGGGAAGCGTCAGCAAGAAGCCTTCTGCATACATAATAAAATTAAGAATAAGATTTACCATTCAATTTTCCGGTGTCAAACTTCAAGGGAAGAAGAACCGTATAGAGTTTCTGGTGGGCTAATGGTCAATTTTTAGTGAGTAGAAGAGGCGGGTAAGGAAGTGAGGAAATAGAAAGGGAAGTTTTCTGAATAGAGGAAGAAGATTAGGTTCATTGATTAAGAGTATGGTTTTCTACCATTCCAAGAACCACCACATCCATAAGAAGATCCAAAAAAATAAATTTAGTTTGAAATCAAAGTGTGTCTAGGTAAAAACATGTTACCTGGATGTGGAGCAATGAAAACGCTTTGTTGACATATCTGCAACAATGAAAATCTAAGCTTGCTTCTGTTAAAAATAAACCAACTTGCTGATGGATTTGTCAAGTGCATAGTTTAATGAATGCTTTAACTTGCAAAAACGAATTTTGCAGCATACAATCTCAGTAGCATATATACTCTACACTCAACTTTTAACATCGATCCAGAGTCTACATTTGGGTCAATATCTGTCCATCAGGCCATTTCAGTTCATCTTTGTCATCTTCTTCACCTAAAACCATAAAATTATCTATCAATTTTCAGTATAAATAAGTAAATAACCATAAAACGATACCAAGGTCAACGAAAACCTAAAAATCAACCTAAACTAAATCAAATTCAAGTTCAAACAAAAAACCCAAAATTTTATTTTAACAGTTTTATGAAAAAACACAGATGAGCTTCTTTATCCAAAATCGATATATAGATTGTTCTTCAATAGTCAAATACTCACATACAAAGATTTATCATAACAAAGTGAACCATGATGAACTTAAACATCTGGCGGGTTAGTTATGTGTTGACAAACCTTCAACCATTGCATAAATTTGGTAATATTGTTTTTCACGAAGCCTGTCATATAAACCATACACAAAATTCGTGAAACTGGGTGGTTGTTTTTACGGCTAGGGTTTTCTTGGAGAAACAGTGGGAGATAGAGAGAAAAGCAAACTTCTGTATGGGTTGTAATAGAGGTGAGGGAATGTGGTGACGGTTAGCGGCAGCGGAAGCAAGAGAAGAGAGTTTCTTGATGGTGGAACGAGGAGGGGGTGTTGAGAGTGGTGGAGGCGGCTTGGTTTCTGAGAAAGTGCGAAAACGAGTAGAAAAATTCGTGAAATGGAATGGAGAAAGGCAGTTTGAAATTTGCTTTGAAGAAGATGGAGAAAACTAAGCGACGGATTAGGGTTTCGGAGAAGGGTGAAAAAGAAGGGCGGCTATGGATGGCAGAGAATGCTCTGGTGAAACCATGTAGAAAGGAGATTTTTTGAATATTTGTATCCAGAAATGGGAAAGTAAGGTTATGGGAGCGAGAGAATGGATGATTAGGGCCGAGATTTGTGGGTAGTATAGGAGTTACCATTTAAATTATTAGGCGTTTTTTTTCAAGCATTTTATGATAGTATTTGCTGTTTTAGTAGTAGTAAGTTTTCTTCATCAACCCCGAATAATGAATAAAAAACGAAAATAGATATTCAAATCATGACACTTCTTTCCTAGAAAGAAAAGAAGTATCTCTTAAAATTTTCAAGAAACATCCAATATATATATACTAGTCGTCTACCCGCGCAAAGCGGCGGTGATGAATAGTTTCATTCGGCAATTAGTTTCATTCTGCGATTCATGTATAGATCATTTGTTTGCTGTGTTGGTTTTCACAGATACAAAAACGGATGTAAAATTGTAAATCGGGAATGAGAAATAACATAGTTTTTACTTAGGTTTTAAGTTTGGTTAAAAAAACTGTATTTGAACACAACGTTTATAAATTTCAACAGGTTTTACATATCTTCCTTATAAAAGAAAAGGTTCATACGGTTTCCTTAATTTTTTCTTAAATTGTAGATCGGACTCTCTACTCATGTTATTTTTTACATTGACCAAATTAATTTTCGTTATTATAAAATGTTATCAGCCATACTTAAAAAAATAATAAATAAATTACAAAATGAACTACCATGGCATATTGTATTTTCTATTGTGGTCCAAAAATAAATTGACCATCTTACAAAATGGACTCCCATAGGTGTTATATTTGTTCCTCTTTAGAATGCATTGTGACGAAAGAAACTCGTTATTTAGTTTTTAGACAAAGAATGATATGATTAGTTTTTAAACATTTATACATCCATTATTATTGTTCAGAATAAAACACATATTCAGATCAGATTAAAAGAAATATTATCATAAACATTAAAGACTGCAATTTAAGGCTTTAACACAAACATTAAAATTTTAAATTATTTTCACTTGTGTTAAAGGACAAAATGGAAATTTTCACACATTTGGTGATCATACAATGAGTAATAATAATATGTTATATCAAGTTCAACCACACTGGGAAGAAACCCGGACAAACAACAACATCACCTAGCATCTTTGAGTTCCACCTTGACAACGCTTTCATGAGCATTACAATTATATTTTATTAAACTGGACTAAACATGTTTCAGAGTAAAATGTTATGATTAGATGTTTATGTTTAACCACTAACTCCATGATCGTAAGACACTTATAGAAGCAATATATTGTCAGTTGAATTGAGAGTATATGTACAATAGAAAGTATAACAGATTGTGACGCCCAAACACAACAAAACTTTAATGATAAGCTACTTAATTATGGAAACAAATTTTAAGAGGGTGCATATTTATCACAGTAAACTTTGCACCAACATTTTGAGGATTCCCATTCAATCATATATAAATTTTAAATTTGCATGAATGTAAGCACCAATAGCACAAGGAAGAAGATGTCATGTTAGCATTTTACTTTCATTTCTTTTGATTACAACAATTTTACTTTTAAAATCAAAAGTACATTGACTACCTCTATGAACTGCCTACTCCTACAGCTTGCCTTTTTAAAGCAACTGCTTGGCCGGCTTCAAGGTGCTTGCTTCCACTGGTGGCGGGCGGGCGAAGGGTCCAAAGGACACGTAGCCGGGGGCGAGTCAGCCTTTTCACCTCCGGTGGCTTCTCTTCACCTCAGTCAAAGTACCCACCAGCCTGCAGATCTCAATCTAGCGACGGCATCTGTAACCACACTGCTGCCGCTGCTCGTGCTATGGCTTTGCTTCCTTATCTGGGGAGACGTGACTAAGCCTAAAAGGTAATTTTTTTACAATTAGTCGGGGAAGAAAATATCTACAAACATGTTATAATAAATAGTTGAATGAAAGTACATTTCTAATTCTTGTTTATTATATACACACAATAGACACACGCAACATGCGCATTGGACACACACAAAAAGAGTGCATACACACATACGCATCCACACAACCACAACGTATACACTTACACATGCACCACACAAACATCACAGACACATACAACAGGCATTTACACACATAACAAGCCCACAACACTAAAGACCGAAAGAGGGGTAAATAGGTCAATATAAGAAAGTTTTACCTTTTTAATTGGCATTGTCTGCTAGGGTTGCAATTTATTTTTGCCGTGGAATCATATGAAGACTATTTTACATCTATATAATAATCTAGTATAAACTCCATAGTCTACATGACTACATCTAAGCATCCAAATAAAATAAAAATAAATAAATAAATAAGATAAAATTAGGTTTTTTGGTAAGCTGTTCATGACAATAAATGTAAACCGTAGTCAAACCAAAAACCCAAATATTTTAGTTGTTTATTTAACCAAAACCGGAAACCTTGTTTCACCCGGCAAGCCATGTGCATGTTAGTTTCATAGTTTAAAAGTTTAGAAATGTACAACTATTACCTGAATCTAAAGACTAAACTAATTATATCTTAATAATTCAGTAAAAAGTCGAAGCATGTCTTGGAACAACGAATGTCTAGAGAATACCAAGTTTACCTCTTTTGAGCCTTAGATATCAAGCATATCTTTGACCAACTGTGATAGGCAATTCCAACAAAAAATTAGACAATTTCAGTTATTTATCTAACAAAGATTATACATCATGTAGAACATAACAGAACAAAATGACATGCTAGAAAATGTTTACCTCAACATGGCAATTTTATCTTGGTGTCCTCTATTTCAAATTTTATGTTCTCTCTTAATACGTCGCTTGAGTTAATAGAAGGGTATATTTCATTAAAACCTTACTGTAAGCCTATAGAACACAATGGGAGATGACTTGGCATGAGTCTCAGATGTGTAGAAGGAAAGGTTGGTTTGGCGGACTGACCTGTGTCGCTTTTTTTACGGGAAACATGTAGTTGTGAGATGGGGAGATCTAAATCAGGGAATGACGAGAACAACTTTATCTGATCCAGATTCATGAAAAGAATTTGATGTTAATGTGTCTATGAATAAAAATCACAAAGAGGAAGAGAGAGGTGGTGTGATTGGTGGTTGATGGAGGTGATGACATTTAGGGGGAACTATATAAGGACGAAAGAAGAAGACGGAGGGTGAGTAGTGGTGGTTCTGGTCATGGTTTTTAAGCGATACAAAGATGGAAAGAGTTGTATTGGTGGTGATGGTAGTGTGGTTGTTTAGATGGAGATATTGTTGGTGGTAAAATGGTGTTCGTGCAACGGTCTCTGATGATGGTTGATGTTGTGGATGGTGCTGTCTTCTGATAGTAATAGAGGCGACGGATAGTGGTGTTAAGAGATTGATTTGGTTTTGGGTCTTTAACCTTCAAATTGAGGTGGCGCTGGTATAGAAAATCATCGGCCATTAACCTCCGGATGTGGGTTTCAAACGATTAGGGTTTCTATGAAGGGAGAGAAAGGGAATCGTCCGAAGCGTGGTGATGCAGGTGGCTAGAGATGTCACGACGCAGCATCTTTATGGCATCTGGAGGCAGGCAGTTTGCTAGAAGGAGGATACGACCACTTAGCAGGGAAAGAAGATTTCTATGGTAGCACGACAACGGAAATGGTGGAGGTGGTGGTCATCTACGGTTGCGACTGGAGGCTTAAGGGAGATTTTGTTTAGATGGAGAAAAATAGTTTGTAGTTTCACTTGGCTGAAAGATCCAATATAGGGGAAATCCGGCCAAAATCCAATAAATTTTGCAGATATATTAGGAATCAATTCACCCAATGAATAAATTAAACTGTGGGTCAAAATTTATGTATCGATATATAAGGGAAGTCGGGTCAAATTTCCCTACATTTTAGGATTCATTAGTATTCAAACATAGAATTTATCTTAAAAAAGTTGTGTTTAAAAATATAATATTATTATAATAATGGTTAGTTGTACTTTATGTTTGGAGACTTGAACGTCTTAAAAAATATTATTATTATATTCGATTTATTTTTAGAAATAATATGATTTCTTTTATAAGATAATAAAGATATATATATATATATATATATATATATATATATATATATATATGTGGTGCAGTACGGTTCTAACCATGGTTTTGTAACTATAAATTGCACCGCAGCCGCTAAAAACCACATTATATGGTGTGGTGTGGTGATGTGCAGGCGGTCTGTGTGGTTTGATGCACACCCTTAGAGGTGTTTAAGTTATCTGTATCCGAAATTCCGACCCGAAATTCCAAATCCAAATTATTCGAAAAATCAAATATCTGAATTTTCGGAATCAAAAGTAGGTAGTGTTTTTTAGATTTTTCAGATAATTTGGAATCCGATATCCAAAAATTTTTATCTTAGTTTTATACATTATTTGTTATTTTAATCACAAATGTCTTATGATATGCATGTTAGTAACTAAAACATATTCATAATATCCTTATTTAAATACCTATGTTACTTCATATGCCTTTCTAATTTAAAAAAGGGTAAATTGCACAAAAAACACTCTTTTTATACAGAAATTCGATTTTGACACCGTGTTTTTTTTGTGTCAATTTTGACACTATGTTTTCCAAATTGTTACAATTTTGACCACTTAACCGGTTAACCATGTTACATGCTGACGTGGCATGATGACGTGTCAGTTTTGATGATGTGGCATGCTGACATGATATGCTGACGTGTCAAAATTGATTTTTTTCCCACAAAAAACACTAAGTTTTCACTTTTTTTTCACACTAAGTTTAATTTTTTATTTCAATTTTGACACTATGTTTTTTTTGTTCCAATCGAACATCATTTATCAAATTTTGTTCAATTTTGTCTATTTTCCATTTGATACTGTATAAATATATTTTTTCTATTACATTTTAAACCGTATAAACATTTTTTTTTCTTTTAAAAGCCACATTTTTATTTAAATACAATGTGTTTTTTCCTTACATTCAAAGCATTACTCATGAGAATCAAACTAACCATAAGCTTCTAATAAGATATAAAAATTTGATGGGTTGTAAACTTGATATCCGAGTTTTGATCGACTACACGCCTCTAAACCTCCAAACACATTTTAAAGTTGCGTATTTAAT